AATTGTTGCCTGGTAATAAAAAATCTTTATTTTGTGTTTACTATAGCACGTGAGATAAACTGCTTAAGATGGTTTTGGGTTGGTTGTGGTATAGAGTGAGTGAGATGAATATGTTTTAAAATGACAAGTCATATTTCATAAAAATCCTCTTGAGTTTAACAAATAGATTGTTTTTGTTAATAAAGGTGTAATTGTATTTAAAAAGATAATGGGAGAAATAATTTTACTTGATGGAGAAAATTATTAGGCTCCTAGAATTCTTTCTTTAGGGTGATAGTGAGTGACCTTTAACTTAGGTTCCACCAAGATTATTAAAAATGGCTAGTTATGGAAAGTGATTATCTTTTGAATTAACCACTGATTATCAGATAGTTATATAGAATGTCAGTTTCAGGAAAATAATTAGATAGTAATTTGTTTTAATGTCTCCAACATTTACAGAAATGTCCAGAAGCTATTAATCTCTGCAGTGTAGAATGTCTCACATACTCTACTAATTCCTCAAGAGATTGAATTCATTTGGAAATAAGGTCACTTTGAAATGTCATCTTTGAACAAGTAGCTTATGGTGAACTCTTAAAATTATGATTACAGCACTTTCTGCCATTTTAGTTACATGGGAAGAAATGAAATTATAAATATTGTCAATAGTAAAAATCACAGTATTTTTGATGATAGAGATGGGAGCAATATAAAATAGTAAGCAATAGTTACATAAATAGTAAAGCGGTATATTAGTTTCAACATGTTTAGTGCCCTCTATTGGCTAGGTTCTTTCACACGTAATATCTAGTCTCACAGTGATCTTGAAAGATAGGTAAAATTATCCAAATTATTGGAATAGAAATTCCCAGCTCAGAGAGATTTAATATCTTGTCTTTTGTCCCACACTTAGAATGTTGCAGAACTAGAATTTTGACCCAGGTCTCTACTCTAAATAACGTGTTCTTGAAGATTAAGTGTATTTAATGGCTACGAGCCTTAGTTTCTTCATCTGCAAAATTTCAATATTAATATATCTTTCTTAGAATTTTTAAGTAATAAGATAAAACAAATGCATATAAAGTACTGAGCATAGTGTCTTCCCATAGAAAATGCTGAATATTATTTTTATTTTTGTTATTATGATCATTTTTAATATTTTATTTTGAAGTAAATCAGCTATTCAAGTTTTAAATCTACCTCTAACTTTTGTGCTATTTATTTTGAGGGACATTTTACTGATTTATTTGAAAATTAAAATTTGCATAGAGAGAAAAAATAAGTATATTAGTGCTATATATTTTGTTTCCTGAGAAATTTATATTTTCATGAAATCTGTTAAATATTAATATATTTTATTGGTTTTCCATTAAATATGGTTTATCAAAATTACTATGTTGTCATAAGAACACATGGCATTCAGCCACAGGAAATAACAAAATTCGGGTGGAAGAGAGAGAAAAACTACAGAGATGATCCCCATCATTCTAAATTATTTTATATGCTCAGTAGCTTTTTGTTGCTGACAATACCTTTTCTACATGATTTATTTTTCTTAATTTTCTCTCATTTTCTCCCATTGTTATGAATTTATCAAAATAACACTTGTTAAAGGGAGTGTATGGTGCTGAATGGTGAGCCCCTATTCAACAACAAAAGACAAATTGAAATAGAGCTTATTACTCACAAGTCTTGGAGAAAGTACCAGGCATGCCTTGAGGGGCCACATGGGGAAATTAAGGCAGAATACAGTGAGAGAGAGAGAGAGAGAGAGGACTTGGGATACCATGTTTTTGTTAGGGTCTGTGGGTAGAGTGCTTTGGGGGTTCCCAAACTAAGATCAATTGGTCAATTCAAAAGAGTGGGATTTGGATAGGCTCCATAATGGTCTCATCTAAGTGCAGCATAAGGTGAAGTTCGTGGGAGGCAAGGAAGGCTGTTGATCACAGGAGCTATTGGAAAAGTCATATCAGAAACTAACAGTTGCTTGTGACTCTGCCTGTTGCTATCTAGGATATGCACTTACATGAGCGGCTAGTGTCAGATTAAGGTCACTGCAGAGCATTGGCCAAACTGGATTATGAGGCAGCACTACTATGGAGTAGTTTAGCTAAACCCTCCACCCTCATGCATTACTTATGTTTTTCCACAGGTGCATATGTAAGTTTACATAATTGGTTGTTGTAAAATAAATTAGAGTTTATAAAGAAATGAGTGGATGGCTTTGAAGTATTCAATAAGATTCATTAATTAACAAAAATTTAAGTTCTTTTGGAAACCACAAGCATCGTAAATTCATTTAAATGATAATTCAACTTATAATACTTTAATTAACATTGAACCACCAATCAAAATGAAGCATAGTAGTGTAAGAAAAGTGGAAAAATAAGAGTAAAATTGTTTAATAAATTTTCTAGAAAAGTCCAGGGTGCCACATGTAATGCAAATAGCACTGTAATTAGACTCTAGTTACTTATTATAACATTACCTCTGTTACTAATTAACTGCCTCTAACTTAGGGAAATCATTTAACTTCAGCTTCCTTATCTGAACCATGAAGTAGGTGAATTAAATGTATGGTTACCAAACTATTAAGAAGCCATAATATACTCTTCAGAATTATTCAGACACTTGCAACAAGTACTGAAGCGAGATTTTTGGATTTCCAAACACTCCTGTTGAATTTATACAACAACACAATTCCAACTATTCCTGTTGAATTCATACAGCAACATAAATGTCCTGATCTGTTGAGGATCCCAGAATATTTTCATTTGTAAGGAAAGACTTACACTACCAGCAGTGTTTAAAAAGCAATTTGATTTCTAAGGTCATTTTTAACACTGAGATTCTCTTTTCCATTATCCTAAGTGGGGAGATTGACTCTAAGAGCATATTAACTTTGAGAACATGTTTTTCACTTTAAGAAAATGATTTATAAGGAAAATAAACTTTATGCAACTGTTTTGCATAGTTATGAACGTTTAAGTATTTATAGGGTCAAAAACTGTTGTGCCTTTTTTACAATTTTTCTTTCATATATGTGGTCTGTTTTTTTGCTATTTCGAAAGTAACTCTTACATTTTAGAGATTCATACTGAAATATTTACCTATGAAAAGGTGTTATATTTGGCATTTGCTTCAATATAATTAGGAATGTGGCTGAATGAGTTCAGTATAAATAAAACCAGATAGCTCAGGAGTTGATAATTGTTGACATTAGATAATAGAAATGAAATTTCACTGATTATTGTAACATTTGCGTATGTTTGATTTTTTCTTTCTAAGAATACTTTTTTAGAAGAAGATTCTACTTGAGAAGAATTAATTTATTACAGGAGGTTTCATTCTATAGCCAGGAGCAATTTCTGATCCATTTAGGCATCACTGAGCAGACCCGTTCCAGGTGATTTAACTATGTCTTAAATGGAGTTTCTTTTTCTTTAGCTAAGTTATATTGCACCTTTTACTTTAACCGTTAATTTACAGATATGTACATAAAGAGGTTTTAGATGACTGTCATTAAAATCCTTTGTTGCTATCACCTCGGCTCATTCCCCACTCAGACACATACACTTTTAAATTAGTTTAACAATTGACAATTCTTTTATCAGTTTAGTTATAAACATCTATACTTAAAAAAAAAAAAAAAACAGTTTTAATAGTGTAAAATGACTCCTTGTAGACCATTAGACTCTGCTGTATTATTTTCAGGCACTTAGAATTACTGAATAGTACACCCTTTACTTCTACTGAAAAGATGAATTTTAGTTTTATTATGGTTCTGGTCTAGAATGTGATGTTCCCACTTGTACAGTTACTAAATCAGTCTTCTGTCAATTCAGAAATCTGGGAAATTGAAACCATTTTGCCTTTACTTTTAAACATTGCTTCATTTCTTTTTCATTTTGAAACTGCTTTATTGTGTGTCACTGTTTAATAGATGACCAGATGGTGCTATTTAAAAGTTTCAATATATCCTAAAATCCAATTCCAATGAAAAGAACATCAGGAAAATTTACAGTAGTGAAAGTTATGTTTTAAAAACTTGTTGTCATTATATTTACATCAGGGATATTTGTAAATCATCTTCATTATTTTAAAAATAATTAAGGGAAATCTTCACTGAACACAATTTCCCCGTAAATTAAAGAAAACATGCAATTATATATCCCTATTCGTTATGAGAGTGATGCATTTAAGTCATTAATTGTAAATTATCTTTTCATATTCATACTACATAACTTGTAGATTAAAATATTCATTAGTATAGAATTTAGAATATTTTAATATATCTACATTAAGTTTGAGAAATACTATACTTGGAAATTGGACAAAGAAAGCTGACACCCATGTCATACACCACTATTACAGTGATGTATCTACCCCGGCTCACATCTATGGCCTTATAGTTCCCTTGGGACAAGAAAACAGAACAGGAAAAATGCTGAACTTGGTTCATGGATGGGTCAAATTGGTGTGTAAATTCAAGCCATATCTGCTTGAATAAACTATTACTCTATAGTTCTTAGGGTTGACTTTGAAAGAAAGTGGTAAGGGAAAATTCCCCCAGTGGATGGAGATTGTAAGAGTGCTCTTGGTCATCCCACTTAAATGAAAAAAAAAGTGGCCTGAGGTTAGAATTTATAATATTTCATGGGTCTTGGCAAATAGGCTTATACATGGACTGATAAGATTGGGTACTAAATGCGAAGCTCATGTATCACATGCTAGGGCCTACTGGATTGCATTCTCCATAGAGGAGTAACTCAACAATCAAATAGAATGACTTAGCTAGTAGACCTCAGTCTACTTCTGCCATTAACCACTCATATTCTGTCACAATGGGTTCATGAACAGAACAGACATAGTGGCAGACAATAGCCGTACCATAATGGGATCCCACTCACCAAGATTGGTTAAATCCTTTCAGTCGCAGTCTCAGTAGCATTGAGCCAGCCCTCGGTCTCAGCGCCTTCACTCTGTTCCGCGCCTGCTGCGCTGCCAGCTGTGCCACCATGATGGAACAAACCATCTCTTTTGCCAAGGACTTTCTGGCTGGAGGCATCACTGCCGCCTTCTCCAAAACGGCCGTGGCCCCAATTGAGCGAGTCAAGCTGCTGCTGCAGGTGCAACATGCCAGTAAACAGATTGCGGCCGACAAGCAGTACAAGGGCATCGTAGACTGCATGGTGCGCATCCCCAGGGAGCAGGGCGTGCTGTCCTTCTGGAGGGGCAATCTGGCCAACGTCCTCTACTACATTCCCACTCAAGCCCTCAACTTCGCCTTCAAGGGTAAGTACAAGCAGGTCTTCCTGGGGAATGTGGACAAGCACACGCAGTTCTGGAGGTATTTTGCTGGCAACCTGGCCTCCGGCGGGGCAGCAGGAGCCACCTCTCTCTGCTTTGTCTACCCGCTGGACTTTGCCAGAACCCGTCTGGCAGCCGACGTGGGGAAATCTGTAACTCAGCGGGAGTTCAAAAGCCTGAGAGACTGTCTGATGAAAACTGTCAAGTCTGACGGCATCCGGGGCCTCTACCAGGGCTTCAGCGTCTCAGTGCAAGGCATCTTCTTCTACCGGGCTGCCTACTTCGGCGTGTACGACACCGCCAGAGGCATGCTTCCCGACCACATCGTGGTGAACTGGATGATCGCCCAGTCTGTGACGGCCGTGGCTGGCACCATCTGTTACCCCTTCGACACCGTGAAGCGGCGGATGATGATGCAGTCAGGGCGCAGAAAAGCCGATATCATGTACAGGGGGACCATTGACTGCTGGCTGAAGATCTTCAAGGAAGAGGGGCCCAAGGCCTTCTTCAAGGGTGCCTGGTCCAACGTCCTCAGGAGCATGGGCGGTGCCTTTGTGCTGGTCCTTTACGATGAGCTGAAGAAAGTCATCTAGGCTCGTCCCCTCGCCTAGACACAGGGACCAGGAAGATCGTGTAGAATACTGCACTATTACGGATCACTGACCTTCCAGAAATTCTAGTGCCCTTGCCCGACCATATCATGCGTAGAGGACTGGTGAGGGCTCTAGAACGAGGGCATTGTGATCGTGATCACTCACACCCTGGTTCCACAGACTGATTACAGGAGGAGGGGAATCCCAGCTTCTTCAGGGCAGTTTCCCTACCCTGGTGCTTGTATGCCCGAGCTGTGTTTAAGTATTTATTTAAAGAAAATCATGTCTCTCATTTGTACTTAAGCACTATACTTTTATGCACAGCACGTTACTTGCAATTACGTTCTATGTTGAGCATTCTGCTGCAAATAATGAAAATGGGACATGGGTGGGGGCGGGGGCGGGGGAAGAAAAGAAAAAAGACTGGTTAAACTACTTCTGCTACTAAATATTCAACATGCTAGCACTAAAGACCAAAGCTGAGACAATCATTAAACACCATCTCTCAAGGAGTCTCAAGAACCACATTGTGGCAAATTGATCCCATTGAATCACTTTCACTCTAGAAGAGATTACATTTCAGCTTGATTTGAATCAACACGTTACTAGTATAGACTTGTCTTTCCTTCCTACAGGGCCTCATTGAGAGCACTATTCCAGGGTTTATAGAGTACTTGATTCAATATAGATCCTATGTAACATCACATTAAACAAAGGACTCCCTTTACAGCAAAGAACAAGCAACTGTGGGCATCTGACCATTGGCTACATTTGTCTTATCACATATAACATGATCAAAAAGTTTCTGGGCAGGTTGAATAATGGAACATTCTTAAAAGGCACAGCTAAGATTTTTGCTTATAAATGATATCCTGAAGGGATACAGTGACATCTTCTAGAATACAGTATTAATTAATGATTGTACACTATAAATTAATATCAGGTCCTATAGATATTGAATAGATGGGTATAGGAAACAAGGGGTAGAGGCTGGAGTAGTCTCACTTAGCATCATTCACAGTGACTCATGTGGAGCACAAATGTGCTTTCCATCACTGCAGCTCTAGGCTCTAATGTGCATATGCATTCAGGTTTCTACAGAGGAAATCTTTCTATCAGAAAACATGGAAAGAATCTCATTAAACTTTAAGCTACAGTTGCCACCTGATCACCAAGAAATTAGTAAGCAAGAAATGGAGTCATTATCTTGGCCAAAGTAAGTAACTTTGGCCATCAGAAGAAGGTAAGGCTGCTATTATAAAATGTGACTGGGAAGAAATGTTTGTAGGATTTGGTATTGTCCTGGCTCATTTAGACAATAATAAACAAATGCAGCAGTCACAGCCTCAGAAGGACATGGTTACAGCATTCAGAGCCCTCAGGGATGAGATTATGGATTGTCTATCAGATAATTAACCTAGACCGGCAGAGGTACTAGCAGAGAAAGAAGGGAATCAGAATGAGAGAAGAGATGAGAGATGATGAGTATGTACAAGAGGTGATCTGTGGTGATGCTAGGGTGTCTGACTCAGATTCTTTTTCAAGACTGAGACACTTGTTCTTACAATTTCTAGGAGTGTTGGCAGTGGATAGATCACAACTAAAACTTTCCCAGAATATTGGCCTCAAACAATGGGCAAGAAAATAAAAGTTCAGCTCTTTGCTTCAATTTAGGGCATCTCTGTGGGCCAGCTTCAGAGCTACCCATGGGTTCTGTTGAGGCCTTTTTTGTATCTGTAGCACAGTTCAACTTCTCTCTTTGCTCAGTTTTCTTCCCCAGAAGAAAGATAATTTAATTGTTTTGAAACTCAGAATTTATTATTTGGGGTAGTTTACCTGTAGAGGAAGTGATAAGAGTGCAATAATACAAAGGGAATCAAGAGAAGATGAGAACAAGAATAAAGTATAGACTCAGCAGGATGGTAGAAGGCTATGAGCTGAGGAGAGGAAATTTTCAGTGAGAAGTTCCCAGGGTAGGTATGGCTAAGAGATTTAAAAAACAAGGAAGGGTGACTAAATTTAAAATTTATATCTCATACTAGAAGAAATTGCACTGTAAATTTTCACTATTTTTCCCAACCATCAAAAAAGAAATTCGATGCAAATATCAAGTAAAAATATATTGGAAACGATACAGGTATTCAATAATCTAATTTGTTTAAAAATAATATTTAAAATATAATAATTTTCCAGTATGCAAAAAAAAATAACCAGTTAGAAAATATAATGGAAAAGAAAAAGATTAGATAGTAGCACAAAATTCAATTTCAAGGAATACACTTAACAAGAAATTTTCACAATCTATATAGATAAAACTTTAAAAGTCTGTCAAAGAACTAAAGAAAAAGTTTGAATAAATAGAATAAAATATCTTTTTTTGAGGTAATAGTAAAAAAGTGACAATTCTCTTGGCTTAAACTATGATAACATCTTTTAGAAATTAGTAAGTGATTATTATCTTACTTAGAAGAATACACATACAGAAACTGCAATAACTAGGGGTAAAATATAGCATGTTAAAAAAAAGTATGTGTGTGTGTGTGTGTGTATGTGTTTTGGTATATACTGTTTTAGTTACCTTACCTTTATTTGTTTTGGTATGTTTTTGTATATACTGTTTTAGTTACCTTACCTTTATTCGATATATATACATATGTATATGTGTGTGTGTGTGTGTGTGTGTGTGTGTGTGTATGTATGTGTATATATATATATATTTCAATGGAAGAATGTGGGGTTGAGAAATTGGTGTGTTAAATATAGTACATTGGGAAGTGTTTCCCGATATGTATGAGAATTTAGTAAATGACAAAGCTGACATTTCAGATTAATGATTAAAGATGGACTATTTTATAAATGGTTTGGGATAACCAGCAAACCTTTCTGAAAATGGCCTTGAAGAAGGAAAGAAGAAAGAAAGAAGGAAGGGAAGAAGGACAAAAAAAGGAAGGAAGCTGCAGAAAATGTTATTTAATGTGTAATTTGCCACACGAAGATTTGCCCCCCCCCACACACAGCCATAAGCAAATAAACCAAAAAGGAAAAGAATTGAGTATATTTGTAAACACAAGATGACAGAAAGTTAATTTCCATCATAAACAGAGTACTATTACAAATAAATGATATATCTGTTAGAAAAATAGGTTAAGAAAAGGCATGTCACAGAAAAAGAAATAAAAATAGTTAGTAAAATATGAAAATATGTGACCACAAATGATACTGCATTAGAAACTCTACTGATATAACTTTATTAAAGATTAAATTTAAAGAAAGTCACTGCTATCATAACAATAAATATTGATAAAGTATTTTATAAAATTTACTTCTCATTTCTGATGAAAATATTTCACCAACAATGAATAGGAAGAAATAAAATTGATTTAGTGATTCTTTCTAAAATCTTTGGCAAGCAAAATAAATTGCTGTGAAACATTAGAAGTATTTCCAATAAATTCAATGCCATTTGAAAAAATACCACGAGATGGCAGGATACAAGATCAATATATGAAAACCAAAGCTCTTAAAAAACTAATAATTAATTCTAAAATGCAAAGAAAATATATAAATCTCTTTAAAATGGCAGCAAATCTATAATGTGTGCAAAAGCTGAATCTGAAATGGACAAAACATATGTTAAGAAAATTATGAAAGTGGCTAAAGACATTAAAAGAAAAAAGAGAGATATCCTATATTCATGGATACTAAATATGGTAAAATCATCAGTTCTCAAATCATCCTATAGATTTCCTACAACTTTAGTTAAAATTTTTCTAGAGATTTTTCATGGAATTTGACAAACTTATTCTAAAATTTATATGTCGAGTTAGCAAGATTAACAAAGTTAAGAAAAATAAGAACTTGTTCTATCAACTGTCAAAATATCTTTTAAATCCAGAAAGTTTTAAAAGTGAGTTTTGGATGTTTTATGTACTAAAATTAGATTTCTGTCGCACATCTTTTAGAACATTGACTTCCATATATATATTGAACACATAAAAGGAAAAAATATATTTAAAATGTTAACAGAATAATTTAAAAATTTTGATTTTAAGACATGAAAGGCCATTTTGTGTTCCAAAAAAAGCAAGAGACATGAAAGAAAATATTTTAATTGACATCTAAAAATAAACTTCTGTATGATAAATGACTTCATAAACAAAGGTCACTAAAAACCAAAACAAAACAACAAAAAACCTACAAAAAGAAAAAGTCAAAACCGCACAATAAAAATAAAAGCTACAGACTGTGAAATTTTATTTGAAATAAAAAAAACAGCCAAAGGAATAGAGACCAGAATATACAGTTTCCTATAGATTCATTTTTACTAAAGAGCATAGTATTAAAAATGACATAAGGCAAAGGATATTAAGAGGAAATTCACAGGAGAAGAAATCCCAGTGGCCAATAAAAAATATAAATATTATCAATTTCTCTAATATATAGAGAAAGACAGTGATGACAATGTAGGGAGGACACAAAAGAACTAAAATGTTAAATCAAGCTATAATCAGAGATTACAATATGCTGATCGGCCTTGCAGCCAGGCCACATAAGACACCTGCGGAACAAAGGAAGATTTTTGCTGGGATTGCTAATAAGCCATTTCCCACACCTGTGAAGGGGAAACAGAAAAATAGTCTTTAAGTGGCTGCTCTGCACAAAATTCTTCGTTCTTTAAGGCTAAAACCATAGGGAGCCTATGGATTAAAGGTTAGGAACTGCCAACAGGCCTTTCGTGCTACATATTCTTACCTTTTCAAGCTGCATAATCTTCCCCTCCCCCTTCCTTACTGTATGTCCACATCAAAGGTAGTGGATAAACAAAGTCTTTAAACTTAACTCACGGAAACTAAAGAATGATATATAAACTGAATTCCCAGAACACTTGGGGTCTCTCTTACTGCCTTCACTCTCTCTTTCTCCCTGTCCTCATCTCTCTTGTCTCTGTCCCTCTGAGTCTCTCTTAGGCTCTCTCACTCCCTGTTTCTGAGAGAAGACCA